AATCCTTGGCAATTTCAGTCCTTTTCTCCATTTATCATGATGTTGCTCATTGGTCAAGTTGTGAAAAAAAAAATAATATATTTTATTGAAATATGTTATGCACAGTGAAATACACAAAACCAAAGTGACATGGGTCAATGTATTTTTTCTTGCAGTGTTCCCTCTCTCCCCCTCCCCCAGTAACCAACAAAGAATGTTTCCTTCCATATATAAACTTTTCCTTGACTTTTTACTGTAATGAACTAACACTATATTTGTCCTTTTGTGATTGACTTATTTCACTCAGCATAATGTCTTCCAAGTTCAGCCATGTTATACAGAGAATCTACATTATTCTTTAGTGTTTTATAGTATTCAATTGTGTGTAGGTACCATAGTTTAGTTATCCATTCTTCTGTTGATGGGCAGGTAGGTTGTTTTCATTTTTTTGCTATTGTAAATAGTGCTGTGATGAACATGGGTGTGCATATATCTGTTTTTGTCCTGGCTATCACTTCTTGAGGATATATGCCTATTCATGGGATTGCTCTGTCAATGGTATTTCTAATTCCAGCTTTGTAAGGAATTACCATACTGCTTTCCACAGTGGTTGTATAATTTTACAGTCCCATCAGTGGTGTATGAGAGTCCCAATCTCTCCACATCCTCAACAGCATTTGTTATTTTCTGTCTTGTTGAAATTTGCCATTAGTGCTGGGGTGAGATGGTATCTCATTGTTGTTTTTATTTGCATTTCTTCATGTATTTCCTGGCTGCCTGAATACCCTCTTTGATGAAATGTCTATTCAGACATTTTTTAATTAGATTGTTATTCTTTTTGTTATTGAGGTGTTGGAGTTTTATATAAAAGAGATAATATTACAGTTATGTAATTATCAACAAGTATGAATTTGTTGCTGTCATTTTATTATGTGCCTTTTTATGGTGTTCCTGACTTCTTTGTTCCATATAATTTTCTGTGCTGAGGTCCTTTTGTTTATGGATTGTGTTGTCACTTCTTTCATTGCTGTTGTTTTTGTATTTGTTAAATATCTGTGCTGGTCCTCTCTTTTATTTTGATGTGAAGGCTTATTTTTTGTTGAGGTTACCCTGTGATTTATAATTTTCTTCCCAAGTTTAGAACAGTCCATTCTATCTTGCAGTTGTCTTGACTTCCCTACGATTTAGAAGTTCTGTAACTATACAATTTTTTCCCTCTTTTTGGTTTGTAGTTGTCCTCATTTGTCAATTTATGTCTCTGGTTCCCTGTTTACAATCTTGTAGGCTCATTTACTTTGGATGCTTCCATAACTGGGTTGGTTTCTGTTTTTTTTTCATCATGTGTGTTAATGGTCAGTTGTTTGCTATTGTCGGTTCTCTGTCCAAAGGACTCCTCTTAGCATCTCTTATAAGGTTGGTTTGGTTTTAACAAATACCCTTAATTTCTGCTTATCTGGAGATGTCCTAATTTCACCTCATATTTGAGGGACAATTTTGCTAGGCATATAATTCTTGGTTGGAATTTTTTCTCTGTCAGGGTTTTATATATACCATCCCATTGTCTTCTCACCTGCATGGTTTCTGCCAAGAAATCCAAACTTAGTCTTATTGGTTGCCCTTTGTAGGTAACTTTTTGTTTTTCCCATGCTGATTTCAGATTTTTTTCTTTGTCTTTGGTTTTGAAGAGTTTAATGATGATATGTCTCAGTGATTTTCTTTTGGGCTCTTTCCTGTTTTGGGTTAGTTGGACTTCTTGAATGGATATAGTTTCATATTTCATCATATCAGAAAAATTTTCTTCCAACAAATCTTTGACAATTTTCTCTATGGTTTTATTTGTCTCTTCCTGTTCTGAAATTCCAATTATTTGTAGATTATTCCTCTTGATGGTATCCCACATGAACCTTAGGCTTTCTTCATTTTGTTTTGATCTTTTTTCTGATTGATCCCTTTACAAAGAAGTATTCAGGTTATTTGTCTTCAATCTTACTAATTCTGTCTTCCCTTGATTCAATTCTACTCCTTTGCCCATTCAATGTGTTATCTATCTATTTCTGAAAATTTAGTATTAATCTTCTGGATTTCTATCTGTAGATTTTGTGTAATACCTAATTTTCCCTTTGTCATTTTGTTCTTGTATTGTCTTCTGAAATTGTTCTAGGGTTTTGTCTGTGTTTTCCTCAATTTTGTCAGTGTTTCCCTTGATCTGTCTCTCAATCCATTGAAGGTACTTAATTGTATATGTTTTATATTCCTTATCAGGGAGTTCCAATGCTGCTTCTTCCTCAGGGATGTGTTTTGGGTCTGTATCCTGCTCCCTTGTTTCTTCTAGTTTATCTTGCTTCTTTATGTGGACTGTGGTGCGCTGTTGTCTCTGAGACATTGTGACATTTTTGTGTTTATATTTAATTGGTGAGGGTATGTTGGAGTGACTTGCCCACAATTTTTATTTTCTTTGTTTTGTTTGGATGTTATCTACATAAGTAGGGTACTGTGCTCCTCTATTCTCTAGTTGGCAGCACTTATGTACTCACCACCTGTCTCCATTCCCATTGTTAGCCTCCTGTATACCCCTGCCATCCTTGGCAAACAGAGACTATTCTTAGGTCCTTGGAATGTAATGAGAATGTTTCACTTTAAAATCCAACATGGCCACTGCTTGTAGACATTGAAAATGACTTCACCCTTGGTTGCTTTTAATGTCCAAAATGGCCATCTCTTATAAACATTCAAAATGGCTGTGCCCTTGGTCGCTTTAAATATCCAAAATGGTTACCAATTGTAAACAATCAAAATGGCTGTGTCCTCTGGACAGCCAAAAGTCTACAGCTCAGTCTGTCTCTGTCCTTGCTGTTTCCCTTCCTAGTCATAAGCTACCACCACAGTTGTCCCAACAGCCCTTGCAAACCAGGGCTGATCTTATTGTCAATTCTCAGGTCCCAACACCACTTGGAAATACTCTGACTATTGTTCCTGTTAGAGTAGCTGACAGTCTGCAGCTCTGACCATCTCGTTTTCATTCAGGTTTTTCCACTAGTTGATGCTTAATGTACTTTTGTATACTTCCTTTCAAAGTTCAGGGCTCCAGGATTATCTTCTGTATCTCTGTCAATTGGTTTCTCTTTGTTTGTTGAAGAGGGTCTGTGTAGCTTGTCTGCCTATTACACCATCTTACCGGAAGTCTTCATTTTTTTTTTTTTTTTAATGTTGAGATTTAATCCATACTTCTGGCTATAGTCTTTGATCTTCATCGGTAAGTACTTCAAGTATTCTTCACATTCAGGAAGTAAGGTTGTGTCATTTGCATTTTGTCAGTGGTTAACAATTCTTCCTCCAATCTTGATGCTATGTTTTTCTTCATATAGTCAAGCTTCTCAGGTTATTTGCTCAACATACAGATCGAATAAGTATGATAAAAGTATACACCTTTGACTCACACCTGTCCTGATTTAAAACTATGCAGTATCCTCTTGTTCTGTTTGAACAACTGCCTCTTGGTTTATGATAGGTTCCTCAAGAACACAGTTAAGTTTTCTGGAATTCCCATTCTTTGAAATATTATCCATAATTTGTTATGATCTACAAATATTCTCACACTGAGAGTTGATGAATCCTCCTATAACTACACAGGAAAGAAGCCTTCTGCTATTATATTTACCTTACCTTGTTAAGTCCTTACTCTCTGCCAGGTAATGTGCTGTTTTACATGTTATTTGAATCTCATAGCAATGCCACATGACAGAGTTATTATTTTCATTAAATCCCTAAATATATATGTATTATTTCCAAACAGAGAAAAGAAAACTGGAGTAACAGGTTAGCTAACTAGCTATAGGAACCTAGGTCTATCATGCTTCTTACCACCAGACAGTATCTCTCTTTGTACTTTTTTCAGAATAATTAGAAATGCTGATATGACTTGCTTATTATTTATATGCTAATTAATAGGAAAGTAAGAGCAGCTGCTATGGATTTAAGAGATAGTTATTATTTTACAGAAAAGTAGGAATGTACTACTAGTATTTATTAGCAGTACAGCATAGAATCACAACTGAATAAATCAGTTTTAAAATACTTACCTTTTTAGAAATTTTCCACAGGTTAATTAGAGAATCTTAAAAAGCAACGTATTTTTGAGAATTCCAAATATACTGATGTACTTTAAAGAGAAATTTCTAATATTAGTGACAGTGTATTAAGTGGGAGCTCTGGAGAGATAGTGCCTAAGGCATTTGACTGCTAACCAGAAGGCTGGTGGTTCAAATCCCCCAGCCACTCCTTAGAAGGAAGATTTGGCAATCTACTTCCATAGTGATACCACCTTGGAAATCCAGGGAGGGGTCGCTATGAGTTGGATCCAACTCGATGGCAGTGAGTTTCATTTAGTTTTTGTTTGTATTAAGTGAGCAATGTCGTAAGTACAGACAACCTAGAAAAATCATAAGAATGTTTAAATACTTTCTTAGAGTTTATATTTTCTAAATTCTTATAATGAGCATAAATCACTGACATAATGCTAAAGACTTTTATTTTGAAAAAAAAGTTTCAACAAAGTAAACAGGAAATATAATGAAATATATGAAAGCAGGTAATGAAACTAACTGAAGTACACAATGTCTTAATAAAATCAGCAGCTGGGACAGAAATTATTATGCTGCGGTTGCCAGAGAAACTGAAAATAGCTTATGAATCATTATACTCAGAGAATATCTGAAATAAAATATAAGTACTGCCTTTGCAATATTGCCTGGGATAGATGAAATTAATTTTAATTATTCTTTGGAATTCTGGATATAAATGGAACCTTTCAGGGGTGCCCAATCAACTTGGTCAAAGTGAAATTATGATCAAATAGAGAAATATTTTAATGATTTTTTTATATTTTTTATGAGATTTATATATAAACATATATTGTGATGTAGAGTTCTTCTTTCCAAGTATTATTTCAGTGTCCTTCAGGTAAAATTTATGGCTACAATTTATGATGGTCATAGCTTGTAATCTGGCATTGGATCATTTTGTCATTTCCCAGGATGTTTAAAGCCAAAATTTGCTTTTACAATTGCAACTCTTGTTTTGGCTTCTTGAAATCTTTCACAGGCTTTTTGAAAGTTGATCATATCAAAAACAAATTTTTCTTCACAGTGTCTTCTATGTATTTCTTGAGCTCTAAGAAAAAAGGAAAAAAGAAAGAGATACTTTTAAATGACTTAAAGCACATAAATTAATCAAATTGTTAATGATATTCAGACTTATGGAGATCCCCTGTGTGGAGAGTAGAACTGCTCTACAGGGTTTTCAAGCCTATGAAATTTCAGGAGCAGATCGCCAGGCCTATCTTGCGAGGTGACTCTGGGTGGGTTCAAATTGTCAACCTTTCTGTTCATAGTGAAACACTTCTTTGGCCTTCAAAACAGATATGCACAAATGGAAAAAAGGACAGAAATTAATTTATTACGTAGAATTTTGTTATTTTATTGAAGTATTTATATTAAACTAATATTTTTTATTTTTTTAATATTTCTACAAATATTTTTGGTAATATTTCTAAGATTTTTATTGGCGAGAACTCAGAATTCTCAAAATTCTTGGTTTAGAACTGCAAAGAGGCATCTGACTCAGCCTATGTCATGATTTGCAAAGTTTCTACTTAAATTTCACTAAATCCAAGTTTCTTCTAGGACTCTAAGAGTCCTAGAGAAAGGTATACCAGGTTCTTTTGTCAAACTTCAGAAACATCATAGGCCTTAGGAGAAATCATTCATTCATCCCCATCCATTCATTAAGCAATTAAACATAAAATATGTAGGTATATTTGGCACTATCCCTTGCTGGAAACATAAAGACAAATATGATATGATCTATAACTGAGAAACTAATAGAAAATGAAGACAAAAAAAGACAAGAATATACAAATGATGTAATATAAGAAAAGCAGGGCAGAGTGAGGCATGAGGAAAAAATAATTGAAAATATAACATGGAGGGAAGGATGGGCCAAAAAGAAAAGCTTTAGAAGTGAAATAATCCTTTAGTTATTTCACTTGAGCCTTGAAAGATGAGTATTTTTAGGCAGAATGTGTGTGTGTATGGTAGGAAGGTGTATTTTATGTAGCATGAAAGGCCAAGCTCCAAGTGAGGATGAGTCTTTAATGTGTCTATGGAAATGAGTTTATTAAAGTTAACCCATTGTTGTCAAGTTGATTTTGATGCAAAGCAACCTTATAGGACAGAGTAGACCTGACTCATAGAGTTGCCAAGGCAGTAAATCTTTCTGGAAGAAAACTGCGACATCTTTCTCCTGTGGAGTTGCAGTTGGATTCAAATCACTGACATCTCAGTTATCAGCCAAGCGCTTAACCACTGCAGCAGCAGGTCTCCTTAGTTTATTAAAGTTAGGTGGAATAAATGTTGTTGGAATCTAAAAACATTGAGATTAGGCAGTAGAGATAATTGCTGTTAGGAATTTAAAAGTTAACTGTGATTATGACAGAAGCTGGATGGAGAAAGACTTCATATAAATCAGGTTACAAAGACTACAAAGAATAAACAGTAGTCCACGAGGTCAACCCATGACTATATTGGTTGCCTAGTGCTGCTCTGACATGATTATACCACAAATGGGTGGTTGGAACAAACTTTTCTTCATTTTTGGAGCAAATGTTTATGATATGTGTATTTTTTAAATGTATATATGTATGCATTAAAATAGATCTGTAAGTTTATATGCAATGTTTCCAATACTCAAAGACAAAAAAAGATTGGATTTATAAAGATACTGATAATAAAAAGCAGTAATAATGAAAACAAGAGAAAATATATGTCAAAACTGACTTATGAAGGAGTTGTTGGAACAGAACTCCATAAGATGAGCACTACTTGTGTATTCATGCTCTTTGAATTCTTACCTAACATATTACTGGTTCCCTTATTAAATGGTGAGTTAAATAAAATGTTTGGTATGTGTTCATTTTATATTTGTATAAGTCATGGTTTTACCTTCTTATAACAATACTATTTGACAATTAATGAAATTGAAATTTACTAAATGTAGGCTAGGAGCTTTGGTAGCGTAGTGATTAAGGCACTTGACTGCTAACCAGAAGGCTGGCGGTTCAAACCCACCCAGACACTTCTCAGAAGGAAGGTTGGGCAATCTACTTCTGTAGTGATACTGCCTCAGAAACCCAAGGAGGGTCACTATGAGTCAGGTCCGATTCGACAACAACAACAACAAATGTAGGCTAGAATATTTTTTTTTTTGTAGGCTAGAATATTTTAAGAGTCAATATTAATTTTCTGATCTTCTGCTTCCTCAATAAATTTAGTTTAAAATAATAATAATAAAAAAATTCACCTTGAAACAATTTTCAAAATGTTGCATTTGTTTTGGATAGCTTTGCCCACAGTGCTTTTGTAAGAATATCAATTTCCTCAGTTCTTTCTTGAAAAGAAGTTTAAATATTTATATGTGTTAAATGAAACATTTCTTTCTGGTAATATTCTTTGTGATAGTTGAAGATGTGTCAACTTGGCTGGACTCCAGTTGTGAGTGGTGGTTCCCATGATGGATCACATGACTGCATCCTAAGCGGCCGGTCAGTCTAGGGGGAGTTTCCCCAGGGGTGTGGCCTACCTGTAATACTATCCCAGGGACAACCTGGAAGAAC